GTATAGTTACCGATTTTTTGATCTCGTCACTTCGAACCAGTTTCTGAAGAAGGTTGCAACATGGCATCCGAAACGTCAAACCTTTTATTAAAACGGCAAAACCCGAAAGTTTCTAGTTTTAGTTCTAATCTTAGTTTAATTCACACCGGCCGTGAAAGCCTTATGTAAGAAAACTAATTTAAAAAAATTACTTGAAATAATCCTTGTCCAACACTTTGAGGGCGCTGCCTTCTCTGTTCTTCAGTTCTCCTCAAATGTTCTTCATCCATCGTCATCCGATCCAAATTTCTAGCAACGCTAGAAGCTAATTTGGTCACCGATTGTAAAGTACCGGCGGTAACATGCATCATTAAGGATGCAAATCCGTGCGTTATCCCAACAATGAACCCCCAAGGTCCTTGCATTAATCCTTGATATGGTAAGTTTATAAAATCTTTTAATCCCGCTCCCATAGCCCGTGCTAAGCCTCCAGGACTACCAAGAAGCTCTAACGAACCCACAACCCATCCAGCTCCAAAAATAGCCCCCGATAAATAATGCATTGTAATCGCATTTCCTAATTTGTACGAAGTCGTCACAATTTTGGTTTTATCAAATTTACCAAATTCTAAAGGCGACTCATCCAAAGCTACATAAATTTTCATTGAGCAATGCGCAGATAATAAAACTGATATCGGTTCAATTACAAACGATCGAATTGAAATTGCGGAAGATAAAATGTTTGATGTCCAAATAAGATGTAACGGAACGTATACCAACATTGCACTTGTATCGAATTTATTTGTATTATTCGTTTCTTTTCGCCACATTACCAAATTAGTTGGATTTAAAATCGAAAATTGTTCGATTAATTTCATCATATAAGTATCTTCTACGTAAACAGCAAAAGGTTTCATTTTTATATGAACCTCAGTCATACTGGTTATCGTAGTTAATCGAACGGGATCGGTCCATATTTCAAAATTAATGTAAACATTTATTAAAGCATTCTTTTTTGCGTTAGATATCAATTGATTAACTTGTACGTTTAACGAATTTAAAGGTTGATTAGGAGGGGCATTCTTACTTATTAAAATAACGGGAAAATCGTATGTTTCTCTAAAATAAAGTTGATTGTCGATTTGCATATTACTCAGGCTGAAATGAACTTCCAAATTCTAAAAAAATTAAAATATAAGTATTAGTGAAAAGGTTAAATGTTGTGCAATCCATCACACTATATTTAAAATACTTACATCTGTTCTATTTAAAACCAAAGCAATATTATCACAGGTTAAAGCACAAACTTCAGTTTTTTCTGCTCCACAACTTTCTAAATCCGAAGTCAATGTAAAAATAATGGCCTTAATAAAAACTTGAACCTTAAAATTATTCCAAGTGTCTTTTCTTTTTACCGTAGCCGTTGATTCTTTTTGCAAATCAAATTCAGAGGATGAAGGTGTAGTACTAGTCCCTTGTTGCGGATTTGATTGTTCCGCCAACGTTGGTAAAACTTTCGAGTACAGCACCATATTTTTATTCCCGCTACTATCCGATAATATTTCTTCGGCACTAAAATAGGTACTTTGAAGCGATGTACTTTCAGCGGGATCGTCATTTGCCCGTGAACTTATAGGTGCCGTTGTTTCGATTTCGTGCCTTGATAATCGTACTCTAATATCTCTCGCATGTATTTCAACTTTAGTAACCGATTCGACGAAGAGTACCGTTGTATAAGCGGTCGACTTAACAGACACTTTTACATCACCATAATACGGTATTCTAACGAATTGATCGTTGAAATTTGTCACTAAGATCGGTTGCGACCATTGAAAACCTTTAGGATCACCTTCAAATCAAAACAATTTATGTTGTAATAAAAAAATTTTTTGCTGAAATTACCTTCTGGATCTGCAGCTAACACTAAACGATTTGCGTTTAAGGCTACGTCGGGAAATAAAACGGATAAATCGGGCATTGTGTAATAACAACTACTTTCATCATCGACGCTACATAACCACTTCATATCTTCACAGTCTTCAACGATTAATCTTCCGTCATTATCGGCGTATTGAGCACAATATAATTTAACACCGCTTCGATTTTTTATTTGTAATTGCGGGTGAGAATCGTAGTGTAATGATAAAAATGATTGGCCTTTGTATTCTTGGGAAACAACAACAATTGGAATCTAAAGAAATAATAGTATATTATTATATGAGCATATAATGACGGCTATTATTCACGAAGGTTAAGTTATTATATATTAACCTGAGTGAATAATAGCTCATTATATGCGAGTAGAATACTATACTTTGTCCACGACTATTGCAATTGATTCCATAAATTTATTTTTTAAATAAATTTTTGAATATAGGTTAAACGTCAATGTGACACAAATTCCATGTTACTAACTGTAACCAACTTCACAACAATTTGTCAAAATTAAATGTCAGTTTTATAAAACGTCGTTTTCTTTACGAAAATTAATTAATTTATGCTTAAATCATACGAAAAAAGGAATTTGCTTAGGTTTTTTTAATGTCAAACATTTAGAAACTCCTAAAAAATTGAATTAAATTGTCGTTTTTTAAACTTTTAACGTTTCAAATATTATTATTAGTCTGGGCTACCCGTGAATAATGATTATTATTCACCGCTATTATTCACTCCGTGAAAAATGACTACCATTTTGTTTTAGAAACCTCATTCATTTCATAAGGTATATATTATAAGGTAGTCGTGGACAATAGTATATTATTATATGAGCAAATAATGAGGGCTATTATTCACGAAGGTTAAGTTTATTAACCTGAGTGAATGATAGCTCATTATATGCGAGTAGAATACTATACTTTGTCCACGACTACTATTAAAATTGATTCCATAAATTTATTTTTTAAATAAATTTTAAACGTCAATGTGACACAAATTCAATGTTACTAACTGTAACCAACTTCACAACAATTTGTCAAAATTAAATGTCAGTTTTATAAAACGTCGCACATAGGTTGATTTGATCGATTTACGCGGTCAAAATTATTTTATGATCTATATCAGTTCTAAATGGGATAAACAATAATAATTCGGTATTTTTCACAATAATTACTAATTAATATGATTATTTAAAAACAAATACAGAAAATTCAAACATATTAACTTAACACATAAAAAAAGGTATTTTAAAAGACATAATAATCACAATAAGCATTCATTTCCGAAATCACTGTCCCATAATATTTGTTCGTAGGTATATTATGTTAGTAAACAATATCAATAATCATTATTTCAATCATATTTAATCACAGATCTTGCTCGCTATCCGAAGAATATGGTGCAGTACTGGCTTCAATATAAGGCTCAGCTGATATTAACATTTCTATTGTTTCTGGGCAGAATGATTTCGATTTACACCTTTTTTTAATTTGTGTTGTGCTGCTCAAAAGTGGGTCTGAGCTTAATAATAATCTATTATATATATCGCGGTTACAATCTTCTCTTGAAAATTTCCTGACAAAGTTTTCGCGGTACATTCGAAAATGTTTGTTTCGAGCCTCTTGGGCTTCTTCTGATAATTGCCCTATGGGCAACAAAGCATTTTTAATGATGGTACCACCATGTATTAATATCTTATGCATGGATGGTGTCATCGGATGCCATTCATACAATTGAACGTATAATTTAGCCGTATCCAGAGCATATTCATCATATTTCTTGGTATCAATTTTATGACCAGATGAAATGACTTCNTTCTGATAAGATACTATTTGCAATCTAAAATGATAAAAATTGAGATTTGTAATTATTTGAGATAATAAATGTGAATATATTTTATTAAAGCAATACTTTAATATGATTAAAAATATTCCAGTTATTGTTATTTTAAACTTAAACGAATAGAATGTCTTAGTTGACGATGAATACAAGGACATGATATTTTTTTTTTCTCTAGCCAAAAAGACAGAACTTACAAGAAAAGCTCCCGACTATAAAATTCATACAAATTTCAAATTAGTTTAAGTTTAGTAGTTTTAATCACTTATTAATTATAAACCAAGATTTAAGAATTGATTGTATGAATCCATTTTGCAAGTTATATTATATATGGGAAAATGTATATGTATAAATATATACTATAAAAATATAAAAAATTTCTTATTTGCTTAGTTTTTAAATATTTATTGGAACCGGTTTCGATACATAAAGGTCATCATCAGCCAAAATGTCATAAATGAAGAAAACGTCATAATGTCACAATGAACAGCGCATTATTGTGCGCTGTGTTCGTCTTGTACGTTTCATTTTAATTCGTAACATATTTATTTAATTTTAACATCTTACCTTAGTTTATTTATTTAAATTTTAATATTCAATGTGGTATTTTTATAAAATTCAACGTTAGCATTTTCTTCATTTATGACATTTTGGCTGATGATGACCTTTATGTGTCGAAACCGGTTCTAATAAATATTTAAAAATTAAGCAAGTAAGAAGTTTTTTATATTTTTATATGTACATATACAGGTGTCCCGCAACGATTGTACAATACTGCATCAGCGTATTCTCTGATCCAAAACAGACAAGAAAAGTCTAATAAACATAGGTCCGAAAATGGACCAATTTCGAGATATTCAAAGTTTTAGTTTCATAAGCTGATCTATTGTAACCATCATTAATTCTAACGATTTAGATGCAGTAATTATATGATTACCATGGTTACGATGGTTAAGATAAAGTTTAATAAATAATAGGATAATATTAAGTTAATTAATACAGTTCATTAATAATTTAACAAAACAAGTAACAAAGATTGTCGAAGAAAATCGTTCAACCAGCATAAAAACAACGAATATTTAACAAATTGGAAAAGATTCATGTCATAATAAATGTTCAATATGCGCACCATTTACTTCTAAACACAAACGGATACGTTTTCTAAATGAACTTCTAATGCTTTCAAAGATACCAGGAATTTGTTTTACTGTGTCAAATGCGTTACTACTTTTATTCTTCAAATCCTGCACATTTTGAACGTCTTCAGAATAAACAATTTGTTTTAAATGTCCCCAAAACCAAAAATCTAACGGATTTAAATCTGGTGAATGAGGTGGCCACGGGACAGGACCTCCTCGGCCAATCCACTTATTGCCAAATCTGTTATTTAAGTATGCTTGTGGATATACATTATGCACGAGTAGCGCGTGCATAATGTGCTGATGCTCCATCGTGCATAAAGTAGCAATCTTCTAGAATTTGTTGAGGTAATTCATCAAATGCCTCTGTAAGGTCATTTTGTAAAAAATGTATGTAGGCATCGGCTGTCAATCTCTTTGGAAGAAAAAATGGACCTAATAACTGATCACCTATAACTCCAGCCCATACATTAACACTGAATCGCCACTGATAATGAGTTTCTAGTATTGCATGGGGATTTTCATCGCTCCAAACGTGCGCATTATGAATATTAAAAATTCCGCTTTGAGTAAATGTTGCTTCATCCGTAAATACAATGTTTATGGGAAAGTCGACGTTTACTACCTCTTCCTGTATGGCCCACCTACAAAAAATCTCTCTTTTTTTGCCATCATTTTCTGTTAGAGCTTGAACGGTGTTGTAATGATAAGGATAAAGCAACTGCTCCCTTAAAATGCGGTAAACGGTTGTTTTGTTAATGTTTTCTTGTGCAGAAATTCTTCTAATGCTGGTTGAGGCATTTTCATCGACTCTTCTCAAAACTGCTTCTTCTAATTCCACCGGCCTTGTGTAATGTCTCTCCGTGGAATGGCTGTGGGTTACGCTTCCCATTTCTTTTAATCTGAGAAATAGTCTGCTAAAGGTGTGACTATTAGGCAATCGTCTGTTCGGGAACCTTTGCGCATAATGACGAGCTGCTAACGACGCATTTCCATCAGCTAGTCCGTAACAATACACCATATCCGCCATCTCTTCCTTGGAGTAATTAATAGGAGCCATACTTAATAGTTTTATTAAATTAAATAGTAAAATAATAATTTCGTGAAGTATTATTATTTTTTTTTTTGATTAGACAACTTATCGTAATCATAGTAACGACTTAATTATTATAAAAACAAATTTAAATTCATGATGTTAACAATATCAACTCATGAAACTAAATCTTTGAATATCTCGAAAATGGTCCATTTTCGGACCTATGTTTATTAGGCTTTTTTTGTTTATTTTTGATCATAGAATACGCTGATGCAGTTTTGTACAATCGTTGTGGGACACCTGTATACATATACATTTTCCCATATACAGGGTGATTCACATAAGAACCGACACAAAGCAGGAACATGTAGAGGACAATAAATTAAGATGATTTAACGCAACTTATCTCTATACTAAGTTGTACCCCTGAGGAGTTATAGACCTTCAAAGTTGGGTCTTAAATTTTTAAAACATTGAATATCTTCGTAATGCATTAAGCTAAAAAAACCAAATTTGGTATACGTTATGAGTGTACCGAGGGTATTAACTGGTAGCAAGTTGAGACCAATTGAGGCATTCCAAAGGGTTGATTAAGGGTGATGGTCCCCTAAATTTTTCAGATTTTTTTTAACCTTTTGGTGGATTTAATGCATTATTACCTCATTTCATGTGGAATTTAATAGTAAAACTTTTTTTACTCTTATTATTTTTTAAAAAACATTGTTTTCATAAAAAACTTAAATAACTAATGACACGTATTTCGTTAATGCTACTTAAAATCGCCGAAAATTCAGTAGTCGGCTGTGAAATTGTATGTCAAACTTGACAAATAGGTTATAAAACCTTGTTGTCAAATAACTTTATAACCTATTTGTCGAGTTTGACGTACAATTTCATAGCCGACTACTGAATTTTCGCTTCTTTTAAGTAAAATTACGAAATAAGTGTCTTTAGTTATTTAAGTTTTTTATGAAAACGACAAAGTTTTTTAACAAATAATAAGAGTAAGAAAAGTTTTAGAATTAAATTCCACATGAAATGAAGTAGTAATTTATTAAATTCGCCAAAAAATTAAAAAAATCTGTCAAAATTTATGGTACCATCACCCTTAATAAACCCTTTGAAATGCCTCAATTGAGTTCAATTTGCTACCAATTAATACTCTTGGTACACTCATAACGTATACCAAATTTGGTTGTTCTAGCTTAATTTATTACGAAGATATTGAACATTTTAAAAATTTAAGAGCCAACTTTGAAGGCCTATAACTCCTCAGGTGTACAACTTAGTGTAGAGGTAAATTACTTTAAATCATCTTAATTTATTGTCCTCTACATGTCCCTGCTCTGTGTCGGCTCTTATGTGAATCACCCTGTATATAAGATTTAAGAAGTATACAAATTCGTCCCAATTGGACTCAAAATGTTCTTAAATTTTGCAGGACTCTTCAACACAGTGGAAATAAGTAAGAAAATTCTTAAACATATTGATAACGTTACAAAGATTACGTTTTCTTTATCGGATGTTATTCTACGTGTACGACTCCTAAACACATTATATGATGATTATCAGGTGAAGTTGTACATTTATAATTAGAGTGGAAATGTATGACACCGCCTTACTGAACCTAGGTTGCTTGTGGCCGAGGTGCTACAATTAATATCAAACAACGCATATTGCGAGATGAGAAATGTGTTGACCAGTTTCGGGTTGAGGTGATATTAATTATAAAGCTGCGTACGCAAGCGACAGCGGTTAAACTTAGGGTGGAAAATCTATGACACCACCTAATTATGCCAAGGTTGCTTGCTACCGAGGCGCTACAATAATATCACCTCATCTGCTACATGTGTTGTCCAGTTTTCGATTGAGGTGATATTAATAATAAATAGAGATAATTTCTCGAGAAATATTTTTAATAAATTTCTAAGTGTTAAACTACGAAATTTCTAATTTGCAGTAATCTTACACATAATCAACACCTTGATTATGTGTATAAATAACTATTACTTCTTTAAATTTTTTCCAAACATTCTGAAAAAATTGGAGTGTTATGTTAATTGGATGACTTATATGAAAATGGATCATCTTCATTTACATTGTAGTAGTCTTCATTTTCATCACACTTGGCAATGTCTGAATTCTTCGGCTGTAAGTTTTGAAGGTCTTTGACCTCTACTTATGTTTTTTTACAGCCAAAAGTGCCTGCTTCTGACACTCACTGGTTTAGAGAATAAATATGTCAGATCGTAGCGTTATATACGAACGGAATAAGTTCACTGAACAAATAGAAAAATCGAATAACGGCAATGACAATGACTAAGAATTGGTAGCACGTCTGCTAATATGCAGCTGCTAATGTTTGTTTTCCGTAAACTATATAAGTTTGTCTATTAAAGTGATTTTCAAAAAACATTAATGAACTGCTCTGAAAGACTGATGTAGTGGAGAATAACCAAAAAAATTAGGAAACTGCTTTCCAGTTGGTGTGAAAGGTTGAATTTAAATAGGGTCATGAGATACAACATAAACATTTTAATCAAATCTTTGCGTCAAGCGTTTCTTGTATATCATATACAGGCTGTCCCGAAACTCAACGTCAAGCGGGCACCGGGTGAGAGGCCAACCCATATCTGTTCTGGTAAAAATGAGAAAAAAATTCCATGTCTCTTAATTAAGTAGTAATAGACATACTTTTGAAAATGTTAAAAATCGGTCCTGTACATCATATCTTTAAGTACTACGGTCAGAAATGTTCGCAATTTAATAGTGGTTTTTTTAATAATGTATTCCTTGTGAACCATGCTACTATAGAAGTCACAAAT